AGAGAGAGAGAGAGAGAGAGAGAGAGAGAGAGAGAGAGAGAGAGAGAGAGAGAGAGAGAGAGAGGGAGAAAGAGGGGATAAAGGAAAGAGAAGTAGAGAGAGAGGAAGAGAGGAAAGCGAGCTACTATTCGGAGTCGCTTCTTCTCGTCCCAGAATTTCAGCAGAGCTTGGTCGCGAGTCGTCCGCCGAACTCGGATCTACGAATGTGCGACGTGCCCGAGTCGGTCAACCCGTGCTTCGAACTCCGGTCGCTCTTGGGGACCTGTTGCGACTTAGTTTTTCTCTGGCTCGCGAACTAAGCTGTTACGAGCTTGCCTTTCTCGGGCTCGTTAAGTTTTTGGTCTTCCGAACTAAGCTGTTACGAGCTTGCCTTTCTCTGCCTCGTTAAGTTTTTTGTCTTCCGAACTGAGCTGTTACGAGCTTGCCTTTCTCTGGCTCGTTAAGTTTTCTGTCTTCCGAACTGAGCTGTTACGAGCTTGCCTTTCTCTGGCTAATTAAGTTAATTTGTCTTTCGAACTGAGCTGTTACAAGCTTGCCTTTCTCTGGCTCGTTAAGCTTTTTGTCTTCCGAACTCAGCTGTTCCGAGCTTGTCCTTCTCTGGCTCGCTAAGTTTTTTTGTCTTCCGAACCGCGCTGTTGCGAGCTTGTCTCTCTCCATTGCGAGAGCCTCGTGGTTCTGAGTTTCTGCTACGAACTTGTCTTTCTCTGTCTTGGGGTGTGGTAGCAACTGGCCTCGCCACGAGCTTAGAGGTCCCGTGTCTTCCTTTTCCTGCAGGGGGCCGGGTGTTCGCTTAGAAATGTGCCACGAGCTTCGGTTCCTAAGCTTTTCGGAAGCCAATCTTTTCGTTAGCTCATGGTGGCATGCTTTGAAGCTCACTCTCCGAACATTTTTGGCCACCATTGACTTGAACTCTGCTGGCTATGAGCCTCGGTTTGTCTTCGAGCTCTTGTCTTGAGCCTGCGGGTTTATGACTCTATCGAACCTTTTGCTTGCAAACGCCCCTTTAGAAGCACGCCTCCAAACCCTCCTCCCGAGCTGACTGGTGACTCCACCTGCTCCGGTTACGAGCCTCACCTCTGAAAAACTTAGGCGGGGAGGGGGACCGGCGGAGCGACAAGCAGTACTCGCCACACTATCACGACTGAGGAGGGGGAACTGGCCGACAAGGTGGCGCTGTTGTCCGGGATGGGCATTCTCCCACGGCCGTGGCTGGCCCAGTGAGTACGGGGTGAGGGGGAACCAGCGTGACAGGCAGCGGTTTTTTTTTTCGGCATCAAGTTCTTTCGGCCTACTCGGCATCGACTTCCAGGTTTTATCAGCATCGGCGTGTCTGATTTTTTTTGCGGGTTTTTTGGTCTACGCGGCAATCTTCTACTCTAATTTTTATGACCTCAATTCTTCTCGAGCGGCATCGGCAAGGGTTATTGTTGGGGTTGTCGGGGTTGTCGGGCTTGTTGGGTGCAGGGGCTTTGGGGTATTGGGCTTTTCCTTGGCTTTTGCAGGTCCGCTTCGGCCCACTTGCGACTCCGGCTCCCGCTCTCGGCCTCCGAAGGGGTACCCAGGTAAATTTTGTTTTTTCTGGAGTGAGTTCTTACTTTTACGAGTGTTTATTTCTAAAAATCTAAAAATTAAGGGGGTACACAGTTTGATTGAGGGGTTTGACTGACGGTGAAAAACAACAAAGGGGTGGGAAGAACAGCCGTTCAGGAAAATAGTGTGAGCGGGTCCCCGCGTGGGGAGGAAAGAGTGAACACAAGGGGTATTCGAGAGGGTTCGGGGGCGTTGTCGATTTGGGATCCAAGGGGGTCGCCCAACATCCTCGACCCGCACGGACTGTGGAGGGGGCCCGTACAGGGTACAACTCCCGCTCCGGAAATGGTTCCGCAGGATGGGTTTGGGGTTTCGGTTCTCGACCCACGATGGTTGTGAGCAGGGCCCGCAAGAGAGACGCCTCCCGCTTGGGAGAGGAATTCTCAAGCGGGGACCGTGCGGGACTCGGGGGTGAGGAGAGTGGTGCTTCGGGTGCCGGGACAAGGGAGCGAGGGAAATACAACCTCCATTATGAGCGAGGGGGATAAAGAAGTGAGGGATACGTGGGGTTCCTTGGGCGAGGAGTCGGAGGCCGAATCCTGGGTGGACCGGTGTCTGGCCGATTTCTCGGACTCGGACCTCGGAGGACTATTGGGACTATGAGAATGAGTTCTAAAGGGGGACGAAGACTACGAGGTATGTAATCAAGAACGACAAACCTGAGTGATTCTCTTGATTATCTCTGCTTAACCCCGCCCTTTCTTTGAAGGCCCCGATTAAAGTCTTGTGATTCAAAGAGAGAAAAGAGTCAGACGGTGGCGAGATGGAAGATGCGAACGAAGCAGGAAGAGTTCATGATGCGAGAAGGAGAATGGGGTGGGACTAGACAGGCCAGCGATTATTGATTTATAGGTGGATTGAAGTCCTGGGATCCGGGTAATTCCACGCTCGAGGTGGGCCGAGTAGGGGCGTGGTACCGGTTAGGCTAACTTAGGACTAGGGGTCGGTTCAGTGGGGGACATAGGACCCGGGTGTGTGACTTCGGTCCGACTCTGTGGAGGGGGTTGCCACCCTTTCTCAGGGATAACCTGTGTCCGCTGCTAGTCTCTATATCGGGAGAGGGGGAGGGGCCTCTCAGCGGGGGACGACAGGAAGGTAGCTGAGTGAGATGGCGTTCCTTCTCTGGTCCATTTGATCCTTCTGAGCTCACAGGCATCTTCTCCTTGCGGGATAGAGGTGGTCTATCGAGTGGCCAAAAGGAAGTGGAACTTGGAGATTCCCTTTGATTATATTGCATGAGCTTAAAAGCCATCCCGAAAGGAATTAGCGTGTGTACGTACGGGGGTGTTGACGTATGGTGCTATACGTTTCGACTATGGATGGGCGACTTTGACGTGGGTGTGTACATAGAGGAAGGGCTAGATCAAGGCGAGGATTTCCTTCGTGGATGGGAAGAGGCGATAGGCCACTCTCGCAGTTAAAGGGGGGAGTTGAGGGGCTACGGGTTTAAGTATTTTTACTCTTTAGGTTACCGAACCTACCCCAGGGTTGATCCCCCGGCGCCGGTAATTCCGGACGCTTATCTCGACGGATCAAATGATTGGAAGGTACTAATAGGGATCGTAGAGAGAATAGTGAGAACAACAACTCTATGCGTTTGAGGGCGCTAGAAGTTGAACCTGCGGGAATTAGTGTGGGTAGTCAAGGTGGGGTGGACGTGTGGTGTTACAATTTCTACTGGTGGACGGGCGATTTCGACATAGAAGAGGGTGCAGATAGAGAGGCAGGCTTTTTGGATAGTTGGGAAGAAGTTGTCAGCCACGCGCAGCTCGAGAGAGAACTGCTGGGGGCCTACTGGATTAGGTACTTCTACTCGCTGGGGTGTCGGACGTACTTGCGAGGATAGTGGCCTGCTCCTACTATTCCGGAGGCGTACCTTGACGGTTCGGACGGTTGGAGAGCACTACTTCAAATCATGGAGGAGATAGTCCGAGGGAATGGTTAGGATCGTAGAAGGTACTGACGAAGAAGGGGTTCGAATCGAGAAGGCGGATCTAAGCAAGGACAGGGACTGCTTCAGAGTCCCCTTAGATCATCGCACCGAGAGATATCTGGCCGGGCATGAGAGAGGGTTAGAGCTAGAAAGGGGGGTATTCCTTTGGGCTCAGTTCGTAATAGGAACCTGGGAAGAAGATAGGTGGTCCAGGAACATGCCCCGGAACGGGAAGAGGCCTCGACAGACAGTGATCCGTGCCGAAGGAACGATTTATTTGAGTCGGGAGCCTGGGTGTATTACGTCACTCACTGGGTCCTAGGTTGGTACCAAACGGATCATTGGGAAGCTCGGGTAGGTTCTATTTTGCGGCGGATCTTTAAGGAGGAACCCCTTCGCTTCTGCCCACCGATCAAGGTGCGGGTGACTTGCGCTCGAGACGAGGAGTACCCTCGCGCCACAGGGTGCGTCAAGGCCATATTAACGTCCTTCGTTTTCCGGAGGGGAAGCGGAAAGGAGGAGCGGTACGAGAGGTTCGCGGGGGAGAAGGAGCTCCCGAAGGCGTGTTATCCGTTGACGGTGAGGGTGTCGTCGTTCTTGTTCTTAGGTACGAGCGAAGAGAAGATAGTGAGGCTCTTAGAAAGAGGAAGAAGGATCAGCGTATCATTTAATGCCTTGTGGGTGCTCTATAGTCACTGTATAGACCACGGTACCCCTCGTAAGAGGAAGCTTTGGGGCATTTTTAGGAGGCTTGGGGCTTTGGAGCAGTCCGTCTCCCTCAGTCCACGAGTGTACCGTGAGTGCGTATTCGGAAGGGTATGATAGATGGTTAGGCTCACGCTTGGGAGGAACGAAGTGATAGAGGCAATAGAGATCAGCAGGGGAGGCCAAGTCTTGATCCCAGGGGACCCGCACGTGACCCCCTATTCGATGAGCGTGGAGAAGGGGGAGATAATCAAGGAGGGATTGTACGTGTGGGTTAGAGCTCGCAGGCTTACTTGGAAGGAAGGGGTAGAAAGGGGAGGTATGCCTCATCTTGGCAGGTTTCTCGAGGTCGAAGCCACAGTCTTTCTCAACGAAGACTCGTGGGCGGAGGTCTGGAGGGGTTTAGTGACCGGCTTAGGTACACATACGGAGTACCGGGAGTCCTCGAGGAAGGTGGCGAACGAACTGGTACTTGGCGCTTACTAGGAAGAGACTTTCGAGTCATGGACGAAGGTTTCTTTCGCCGAGCCCGGGGAGGTGCCCCGCACTTCGAAGGTTCTCCACGCTGCCCTGCCCGATTTCTTGGTAAGGACGCTCCTGCGGGACTCGGAAGGAAGGACCGTGGAGGTACTTCGGGCCGCACAAAGGTTAGGGGTAGGGACACGCGGGGTCTTTTGGCTCTATAGTCGGTGTGTAGACGCTGGGATTCTGCCAAGAAGGGAACTAGAGGCTGTATTCGAGCGATTAAGGGAATTCGAGGGCGTGATAGGCCACGTCGCCGACGTTCCATACGCCCTATTATTCGGGGAAGAACAAGTGACTAATCGGAGGGGGTACGAACCTCGAACGAGGTAATGATAAGAGGGATTCCGGATCTCTCTGGGCGTCAGTAGAACCAATAGAAGATACTGGGGAAGTTGTCCGTATCACTCTGCCGCGAGCAAGGTTGGAAGGGGCAACAAGGACCATTCGTAGAGAAGTAGGGGAAATCCGACGCGGTAAGGCCTTCATGCGATTGGCGGTGAGTAGCGAGAAGAGAATAGTGATAGGGGAATCCGAAATATCCCTTCGAAGGAAGGATTCATAGAAATAGCACGGAGCTTGAGGACTGGAAAGGAATCCCTCTGGGATGCACAAGCCGTAAGAAACCGACTAGGGGAGCTCGTAGAGGAGGTAAAGCCTCACGAAGGGTGCCATGAAGAGTATCGAGTGACCTACGGGGGTTGGGAGGAGGTACCACAGTTCGCCACCAGTGAACCAGTGGGAGTTCCACGTTTCATCTTCGAACGGATCTACCCCTCCGAAGCAGTCGAAAGGGCAGTAGGAAGGAGAATCTCAATCCTGAGCCAATTCCGCTTTACGGAATCGGGCCTCCATACTTTGCTATCATGGTGTCTTCAGGATCCCTATCGAGACGATTGGTCGACTCTAGAGGACCTAGGTTACGCCTTTGAAGGCTGGGGTCGACACGCGAGAGAACCAAGAATATCATGGAGGTACTTGGGTAAGATCTGCGAGGCGGGCTTAGAAGGATTGGATCCCTCAGATCTCATCCGAATCGCGATCGCGTGTCGCCGACGGAAACTAGGGGATGAGCGAGCCTGACCTTGACGAACTTGTAGGGCTAGAGAGGGTGAGGGAATAAATACTCCGGATCCTTACTCTATGTTGGGAGGAAGAAAGGAGGGCGAGGTCTGGGTCCTTAGCTAGGATCAAACTACTGGAGACAGTTGCGATCGCAATCCTAGATGAGTTGACGATAGATCTTCTCGCTCGGTAAGGGGAGGTATGAGAGTTACATTCATCTCCAATATAATTTGTTGGGAATTGGAGACTTGCGAAGACGGCAACGAGGTCAAGGTCGAAGGAGGTGCATAACTTAACCCTGATCTTGGAGAGGATCGATTGGTCTGTGCCGAGAAGGAATTTCTAGTGGAGGTCCGCCGGCTGGCCTTATGGAAAAGAGGACCTGGACCACACTAGCTAGCTTTTCGGTCTACATTAGCGACGCAAGTGGAGTGAGGTCCTTGAGGACTTGGAGAGAACCGTTGCTGGAAGTGGAGAGAAGGTTCGAAGAGGACTCTAGGTGTCTAGGAATACCGCTCGCATCCAGGATACACCTTGTAGAGACTCGGTTCTGGGATAGGATGGGAGAATACGACTCGGAAGGGGTTTTGCGCCAAACATTGCGCGAGGAGGGAGAGATCGGTCGAGCTAGGTGTGAGGACTCGCTGGTAGAGGCCGCTGAAAGGTTGGCCGGCGTGAGGTAAGGCCCTCAATGATTAGATACGACGGGGGGAACCCTGTTGGTACTTTAGAGAGAGCTTGGAAATCGGGAGAGAGGTATAGAGTAACCCTCCCCAAGGTTAGACAGGAAGGAGAAGTGTTTACGAAATTCTTCGGGATCTACGGGCGAGAGACAGTGGTGCGGTTCTCGGTGGTCTCCAAAGGGGGAAGCCGCACTAGAAAAGCTAAGATCTTTCTGTCCCCCGACGACCGACGATTCTTCGCAACCGAGTTAGAGGAAGGAAAAGACCCCTTGGGCATCGCCCGGAGGGCCCTAGACTGACTAAGGAGATTGAGAGGATGCGGCGTCGAGGGACGCGTGGTTGATAGAGTGGAATACCGAGGAAGGTGAGAAGTTCCAAGGGCAGCTCATGGGAGGACTTGGGAAATCCCAACCTGGGCCTACCGTCTACTCTACGTCGACGATGCGACTGTGAGGAGGGTCCTAAATAGGGGGCAGGTAATCGAGAAATTCCCATTAGGCAAAGAAAAGGGTCACGAACTGTTCACCCAATGTTGGGAGTCGCAAGAGGACACAAATTTCGAGTGGTGGGCACTCGTTGGGGAATTCATCAAACCCCTGTTTAGAGGAGAACCCGGAGAGGTGGATAGGGCCCTAATCAGGCGGTGCTCTCAAGAGGGGATAAGGGGGATTTCCGACCAAGAAATCGCCAACTTAGCCTTAGTAGTCTGTGAAGAAAAACGAGTAAGGGACTCTTGGTGGACTGTGACTAGCGAGAAGTCGGAAGGAGATAGTGCAGTCCAGGAATCGAGTGAGAAGGAAGAAGACTCGGGGGAAAAAGACGATTCGGAAGGGAGTGACGATAGTGAGGTAAGCAATTAAAGGGTAACAATAGGGTGCATGGAGAGTGAGGTGGGCGCAGGGCTCTCTCGTCCACCACAAATAGCTGTAAGAGAGGGTGTTGAGAAGAGCCCTGAATTAGGAGCTAGGCTAAGTAGGGTGACGGAAGAAATGGCTGAGGGTACATAGTCGATAAGTAGGGCCGAGATGAACCCAGACACAGCTTCAGGAGAAAGACAAGCCTCGGCGGGACAAAGAGCTGGCACAGAAGTGTGAATGCATAGGGAGGTAGAGTCGCGGGTGCCAGTAAGAGAAAGGACGACCGAAGCCTCGAGAGGCCTTCCAGTAGAAGCTCGATGGGCCGATCTAGTGGATGCGGAAGCAAGGGTAGGAGAAGCTCGAGAATTTCCGAGAGATAAACCAGGGTGCCGGCCACCTAGGAGGGAAGAAGAAGGGGGTCCGAATAGAAAGGACCTGAGAGACGGGAGGTCGGCGGAAGCTGGCGGGAGGCCAACGAGATGGGCCGAGAGGGAGGCGGATTCTGTATGGGCACCCGGAGAGGTAGTGGGGAGAAGTCCGGGGATGGACGCTTGGAGAGGGTTTAGGGGGCAGGACCCCGTACGCTGGGAGACCGAATGGTCGAATGAGAGAGGTCGTTATGGGGAAGAACCATGGGGGCCCCCGAGACCCCGACCACGGGTTGAGGAGCCAGACCCCTCTTGGTACAAGCCGTACAATCCGGTGATTGACGGGCCTATGGAGGGACCCTACTTCCGCCGTTACGATGACCGGCGGGTCCCATACTAGGACGTTAACCTGGTCCTGGAAGCGCTTTACTTTGACGGGCGCGACGGGACGGGGTTTGTAGAGAAGTGGGAGAGTTATGCCTACCGAAAAAGGTTCTTCGAGAAAGAATGGATAGACCACTTCATCCAACACTCGGACTCAGAGCTAGACCCGGCAATTAAGGCTATCTACCTGGCAGATGGTCGGTGGAGGACATTCAAAAGTAGTCTATTACGGACTTTCGCGTGCGATGACTTAATCCCCACCGTAGAGGGTTTGCGTCGTATTACGAGGGGGGAACGGGAAAGCTTGGTGGCCTTCACCCGGAGGTTCAAGCGCTTGTCTCAAGCCCTGGTCGATAGAGGGATGTTGTCGGAGGTGGATAGGTGCGTAATGTTTATGTTGCACCTACCCGAGGAGAAAAAGAAGGAGGTCCTCAAAAAAGCCCCAAGAGACTCGGCCAATTTCGAAAAAGTCGCCGAGGTAGTCTTCACGGGAGGAGGAGTGGACGTGAGAGAATACATGAAAGAAACCCTGGACATGGCGCTCCGTAATATGCGCAACACACGGAACGATGGCCCTCGAGGAAATGACAGACCACCCCCTGGTCCACCTGTTCCGCGATGGGGAGAACGACAAACGGGGTGGAGAAACGAACCAGGAAACCAAAGAGGCTGGAGAAATGACCGAGAGATAGGGGGAAATCGAGGCCCCCATTGGGGGAATTCCCATTGGAAGGACGCTAGAGATGGAAGGTGGGGAGACACGCCTCAAGTGAGGGTCACTGGGGCACGACCTGAGGTTAGGGCTCCGCCACCACCCGCACCGCCGCCGCCGGCTCCTCCTGTGCCTATAGCCGCTGCCATGCAAGGGGGACCGCGCCCCAACAGCCCGCAAGCTCGAAGCGGGTGTGTTTACTGCAACGAAGAGAGTCACATCAAGAGGGACTGTCCTCATCTCACCGAGGCCTTGAGGTTGGGAGTGATCAAGCTACATGAAAACAAATGGGTTGTGTCACTTGTGTGGGATGACGAAGAGCGCGTCCCCTTCTACCCCTCAATGAAGATAAATGTGGACAAGAGGATCGCTCTGCGAGAGGCGAGGCTAGGAAAGCAACCCGAGAGCAGAACGGCCGCGAGCACGTCCCGGGTCCAAATGATGGAACCCACGGGTGGAATCTCTATACGGGAGCCTCAAGTCTCAAGCATCAAGTTTGAGGAGGCGGAACCCGATGTCCCTAGTCCCCCGCCTGCAGAAGTCGAAGTTCAGGAAGAAGGACCCTGTCTGCGAGTAAGGACCCAAGTGGGGGCTGGTTCTTCAAAAGGTAAGGAAACCGCCGCTGCAGACGGGGGTAGGAAGAGCAAGGATGAGGACCAGTCGATGGTCGATGCGAGGACTTTCGAAGAAAGAAAAGGGGAGGAGCCGACATCCCCTGAGTCTCCTAGGAAAAGGGTCCCCAAAAAGTTTGAAATGAAGTGCACACTCGACGAAATTGACACCGTCGCACGTCTGCGAAGGACGTTGATGCAACCGATGCAGTGCACCCTTCTCGAATATTTGGCAGCTAGCAAGAACGCAAGAGAGGATTTTCTTAGTATAACCAAGAAGGTGAGGATCCCGCTCGCCGGAGGTCCCACAGTTCCAGGGGAAGGCCCGCCCAAAGAAGAGGTGCAGGCGGTCCGCCTTACAATGGAGGAGATGCCAGCAGATCTTTTCTCGGGAGTTGAGCCGCGGAAGTTCTATGTGCTGGGGAGCGGCCATCTTTGGGCCAAAGAAAGCGTAAAAAGGATGAGGTCCCTAGTAGATAACGGGTCCGAATCCACCGTTTGTAGGGATTCCCTTGCGCGAGAGTTGGGCTTAGAGGTAGAGAGGGGGTTCGCCATGTCCATGGTGGTAGCAGATAACAAGTTCCAACTGGCGGAAGGAGTGTGCCACAACCCTATTATTGACGTGGCAGGGGTTGACACTACCGTGCCTATTTTTTCAGTTAAGGAGTGTTCGTCCGAATTGATCCTCGGACGCACTTGGCTAAGCGTCGTGCACACCACGATGGTTGATCTTCTTGGCGGGAGTCAAACTCTTTCTATCCAAAGTCCGGACGGGATCCGGGTGATCCTAAAGACCATGAGTGCTCGAGACGAGCGGCAACGTACCAGTGTCCCGAGAAAAATAGGGACTCATTTGAAGGTTTGCAAGGTCCGCCTTGAGGAGTCGCCTTTTTCCAAAACGGAGCCTCCCGGGGACAAGATAGAAGTCAAGGAGGTCGGGGACCGTATCTTGATAGATGGTATCGGCTACGATAAGGAGGATGAGGAAGAAGAGTTCGGAGGGTGTGTAAGGCTGTCTTTTTTGGAGGAATCCCCCTAGTTGGTGCACCTAAGAAGCATAAAACCGTTGCGGAAAAAGTAAAACCCGCCGCGGTCAGCCGGGATAGAATGGGGGAAGAGTCGATATCGGAGGAGGAGATAGCCGAAATCATCCGCAAAGCGTAAAGAGACCGAGGGGCAACGGATCACTGCCGACAGGCTAGCTAAGATGGATATAGGGGACGGGAACCTCACAGACCAGGAAAGGGAGTATGTAGCCATGGTTATGAGAGGCTGTGACAAGGCTATAGCCTTTGACGATTCGGAGAGAGGGAGGACAGACCCTAGGTACGCTAAGCCGGCTCGAATCCATACCATTCCCCATGTACCATGGAAGGATAGGCCCCGGTGGAAGTGTGCTTAGAAAGAGAAGGAGGAGATCGTGTCCTTTATCAAGGAGAAGATAAGGACATTTGTCGCGGAACCCTGTGAAAGTGCCTACTGTAACAAATGCTTCTTCATACGGAAAGGAGGTAGTGGTAAACTCAGGTGGATCCAGGATCTCCAAAGGACCAACGTCGTCACTATTCGGGATGTAGGGTCCATACCTGAGGCGGACTTACTCGTTGAAGGCTCGGCCGGTCGCTCGATCTATTCGGTCTGCGATCTCTTCTCGGGCTACGATGAGATCCCTTTAGATTATTGGGATAGACATCTGACCGCCATGCACACGCCGCTAGGTCTGGTCCAAATGATGGTAGTACCGATAGGGTGGACCAACGGTGTGGCGGTATTCCATAGGGCTATGATCGCGGTCCTCAAGGAATTCATACCCGAGAAGGTGGAGGTCTTCTTGGATGACTTTCCAATCAAAGGGTCCATACCTAAAGACGAGACCGAGGTCTTTCCGGGGGTAAGGAAGTTCGTGGTGGACCACATGGAAGACGTGAGGGACGTCCTAGCGAAATTGGACGATGCCAACCTCACCATGAGTGGGACTAAGAGTCGCTGGGGAGTGTCATCCATTAGGGTGCTAGGCTTTATCTGCGACAAGGAGGGGTGGAGACCCGACCCCACGAAATTAGAGAAGTTGATGAACTGGCCGTCGTCGTTGAAGTCGATCACGGAAGTTGGGCGGTTTTTAGGGGTTGTGGGCTATTGGAGGATTTTTATTAGAGCCTACAGCGAGAAGGCGGAACCTCTTAGAAAGCTGCTTAGGAGAGTTGAGGAGTGGGCTTGGGGCGAAGAGCAGGCCGCGGCCATGAATATCCTCAAGGAAGAGTTCCGCAAAGGGGGCCAAGTCCTAGATGTCCCTTATTTTGAGGATAAGGAGAACCGGCCTTTTATAGTCTCTACGGATGCAGGGTCGTACTCGGTGGGGGGACTCCTGTCTCAAAAGGATGCAGAAGGGAAGGAGAGACCGTTGCGATTCAAAAGCAGGGCCGTCAACCCCGCCGAGCGGAAGTATAGCCAGTTTAAGAAGGAAGTGTTGGGGTTGCTGCACTGCCTAAAGACCTTCCGTCATTACATCTACGGGCGGTGGTGCCTCCTGAGCGTCGACCTAACGGCAGTGGCCGCAGTCCTTAAAAAAAAATTCCCGCTGACCGATCCGACCATCGCTCGATGGATGTTACACATTAGACTTTACGATTACTAGGTCGAAAGAATATCGGGGTCCAAAAACCAGGTAGCGGACAGTTTGTCCCGATTCCCCATCCGGGGAGAGGACCTACCCAAGCTCGAGGAAGTGCCGTTGTCGATGGCCAAGGGTGAGGTAATGCAAGTAGCAGCTAATAGGGCACAAGTAGCAGTGACCATCCAGGAAGAAGAGGAAGCTCCTAGAACCTTCCTCGCCAATCTCTACGACGGGAAGTACCGGGACATAGGACTGTATTTAGCCGGCAGGGAAGCAGGGACTTAGAGAATCCAGCGAGAGGCACTCAGATATTGCCTACGAGGAGGCCATCTCTTTAGGAGGCCCACCAAGATTGCGATTCCCATGAGAGTATTATGCGACCCGGAAGAGAGGAGGGCGGTCATAGAGGAGCTACACGATGGGGTCGTTAGAGGCCATAGGGGGCTAAAGGGTACTTTCGATAAGGTCCGTAGGCTCTATTGGTGGGACGGACAGTACGCGGAGGTCGAAAGGTACTGCTCGACCTGTGAGGCTTGTCAAAAGAGGGCGACGGTTCGTTACAAGGAGCCCCTAGTTCCTTTGCTTCCCACCGTTCCGGGGGAGAAGGTCCACGTGGACCTAGTAACTATGCCAAAGGGGACCTCACCGGATTCGTAGAAGCAAAGGCCATTAAGAAAAAGAGGGCGGACGAGGTGAGCGATTTCCTCCAAGAATACATTGCTCAGTATGGGTGTGTCGGGAAGATAGTCATGGATAGGGGGACGGAATTCTTGAGCCAAAAGGTCAAGACATTGTTGGAAAAGGCAGGGATCAAAGCGGCCTATACGACCGCCTATCACCCCCAATGCAATGCGCCCGTAGAGAGGGGTCACCAAACGCTTGTAGATGCCCTGGCGAAATGGTGCAAGGGTCGCACGGAGCAATGGCCAAAGTATTTGCGGTACGTGGTTTGGGTCGATAACATCACGGTCAAATCAAGTACGGGATACCCCCCTTACACCCTTTGGTTTGGTAGGCATTGTCCCCTGCCCATCCAGTTCCACGTCAACACTTGCTATGTTACCTCGCGTTCATTGAACGGGCGTTTCACATTCAAACTTTGAACGTGGTGAACGCGCGTTCATTGAACGGTGGTAAACACGTTTGACGCGTTTGCGCAGGGGG